GAATCGTAAATAGATTTTATATTGATCGGAGAAGAAAAATATACGTATGTGTATATATATATATATATATATATATATATATATATATTGTGAAAAATGTAAGAATATAAGTTATTTGAAATTAATGATGGATAAAAGACTTATAATTGTTAGTAAATTAAATATACTGAGATATTCGGTGATTTATTTATTTTTATATATATTCGTTATATGAAAATTATGTTGTTTGTTCAATAATCGTTTATTCAATTGAATATTCTTAATGATTACTATAATTTATATCGACGAGAATTACTTTAAATCCACGAGAAATAATTTGACTAGAGATCATTCAATGACATTGCGCATGTAGTAGTAAATTTAAATGTATGTAGATTGTAGGTAATGATAATGATTGCACTTGTCCCGTGAAAAAGACATAGGTATAGCTTTTTATTACTTCGTACTTGGTGTCGTCATCTGAAACATAGGCCCAAATTGTTCTTACGAAACAAGTGATTGTGGTAATCGCGGTAATTCTAACAGGTCAGTCTATAAAGCAGAGGTCCCCAACCTTATCAATGGAATGATGGGAATTATTATTACTTATTCAAGAAAAAAAAAAAAAAAAAAAATAAATAAATAAATAAATAAATTCTTTAAAATATTCGTACTAAAGTAATTTCATTTATGTGAAAATATCTTACACCGGATTAAATTAAAAGGAAGAAAATTAAATAAATTCTAAAGGTCTCCAAATCATTGATATGAAACGATATTTTAAATTTGAATCTGTAATGGCGAACTTTGAAAAATTTTATTTAAAGAAAAAATATTAATATGAGAAATATTAATTGTGATAAAAAAAAGAAAAAAAGAAGAAAAAAAAAATAAGGTGATGGTTAGAAGCAAATGTATCGATTAACTTCATGGTGCCTACAGACATAGGATTGGGGACCCCTGTTTTATAGGGTTTATTCATGTATTTATCGCTTTAAGTGGAGAAGATTGACTTGGTGTATCCCTCGAAAATGCAGAGTGGATATTTCCGGACATTATTCTACTATATCTAACATCAAGGATTTAAAGATATCTCATTATCGAAATAAGAGAACTTTGAATTAATTGAATTTCTTTGAAAATCAAAATGATTTTAATATTAATCCATGATCGTCATTGATTTCTAATGAAAAATTAAATATCTCTTGATAAAAATGAATATATAAAATTTATTAAGAGGGATGATAAATCGTCGGTATTCTGTGAATAACAATCAAACGATGTATATGCGAGGGTCAGCATACGTTGGTCTAAAAATATTCAAGACGAATTCACCTCACTTTATGAGAAGAATACCGCTATTGTTTCTAGTTCCTGATGAACTCATTGTTAGTCGGGATACTACTATGTAACACCACAGAGAGAGAGAGAGAGAGAGAGAGAGAGAGAGAGAGAGAGAGAGAGAGAGAGAGAGAGAGAAAGAGAGAGCGAACATAGTGCTTAATGTCAAGCACCTAACTCTACAGTAACTCCGAAAGACTACCGCAATTTCTTCTTTATTTTTTTCTACCCTTAAGCTATGATATATTCCTACTTGCACATTTTATAGTTATTACTCGGTATAAAGAAATTTTTCATGTAACAACATAGACGTAGGTATGTATTTATTGCGAAAAAGGAAAATAAGGCAGATTAAATGTGAGAGAATATCAAATTGATCATTACTTATGTGCCAATTGATGTAATATATATACCTACTTATTATTATTTAATAATTATAAATCAGTTCGATATTTATTCGATAATATATACATATATATATATATATATTATATATATATATTATATATATATTATATATATATTATATATATATTATATATATATATTATATATATATTATATATATATTATATATATATTATATATAAAATCGATCCGATCGAATGATTTTATAAGATTGGAAAATTTCGATCATAAAATCGATGAAAGAATAGATTTTCAGTATTATAAGCTTAGGATATGGGTTATAGGCTTCAATGAATACTTTTAAATTGATCGTAGTTAATCATAGTTGAATTCATATTCGTAGGCGTTAAGTTCGTAGAGATTTCTATGGCCTTGCTCGAGTTTCATTCAAATAATAGTAGTACACAATTCTTTATATAACGATTCGATTAAAAATTTATTATATTATCGTATAAGATCGGTTTTTTAAAATACGATCGTTTCGTTCTTCCTCGATTAATCGTTGTTAATTTATAAAATATAGAAATGTGTAGACTTAACGATAATTGATCGGAAATACAAAATATTAATACGATTTATATATATTTGTGTATGTGTGTGTATATACATATATATATATATATATTTATATATATATATATATATATATATATGTATATACATATGTGTGTGTATGCAATTATATATAAGACTATCGATAATGTCATAATTATTATTTTCTAGCATTGACGATCGTAGTATCAATCATTGATAAATATATAGACGTTTATATGTAATTGGAGATAAGAATGAGAGCGACTAATTTATCGCTAAAATAATTAATGTGATTTGGTATAATTTTAACAATCGTGCTTACGATTAGAATGATCCATAAAGAACGAAAGTTGATACTTTTGATATCGGACTATTGACATATGTCAATGTCATGGAATAAGATTCATTGAAATTATTAGGATATAATTAGTTATAGAATTAAGCAATAATATTTCTTAAATAATATCATTAAATTTTTCTCATACATACAGACGTATTGACGCATATACATACATACATATACACAAAAGACTCTTCGTATATTCATAAATTATTTTTTAATTATCATTTTTTAAAACGATATAAGTACATTCGATTATTATAAGTATTCGATTATTGCCTTAGGACAAACTAGAAAAGACAATATTACTTCAGCAATCGAAAGAGAATATCATCGCGTGCACGTTACTTCCTAAAAGCATTTCTAAGTCCTAGTTATCGATCGTCAGAAGCGGTACCCCCAAATGTATTTATCTGTGTGGGTCACACTTTGTATACATGGATATATATATATATATATCTTTCTCTCTCTCTTTTGCTTCTTTTATCTGTCCTACATTTATCCATCTCTATATAAAAGAAGGTACTCGTTTACACGCGCTCGAGAGAGAGAGATTTGACGCATCCACGATATAAGTATAGTCAATTACTGAATGAGGAAATCCAAGTATTTTCATCCTGAGATACATTTATATATATATATATATATATATATATATATATCTTATTTTGAACATATATATGTAGATGTAACACGATTGCCATTTTCTATATGTATGTTATATACGTACCTACGTTTGTACGTACATATATGTAAATGCTTTTTTGCTATATACTCTTGCATATGTATGTATCTACTTATCTTCATTAAATATATATATATATATATATATATATATATATATATCATTCATTCATTCATAAAATTAATCAAAAACATGTTATATTTATCTTTCGTAACATATCGTCCTCTTTGATGTTTATATTTACACCATCGTTTTAATGTATCTATTTCATTTTAATGACGAAGATATCTGTGATTTCGCTTGTAATTTAATACGTTATGCTAATAAATAATACGTTCAGTTACGGACGATCATAATACGTATCCCGGTACGTTTTAAAAGTTGCAGAATATAAACCTGTGAATAAAATTCTTATATGTATTTGTGTACATATTTTTCCGCGATAAGGAAAAAATTAAAAGGCTTTGTTTTTTCTTTTTTTTTTCTTTTTTCTTTTTTTATTTTTTTTTAATAGATATATGTATTATAACAATGACAATTGATATATATATATATATATATATATATATATATATATATATATATAGAGTAATTTAGATATTATCAAGTAAATACTTTATTTTGCATACGCAAATTTTCACATGCCCTTTTACAATTTCAAATCTTATAATTTTTTCAATTCATAAAAATACTTTATTGAGTGTTTTATTTAGTCGGATTTTGAACTACAGTAAATTATTTTGCCTTCTCAGTGAAAGATTCATTCATATTTATTATTGCTTCTGTTAATTCTAAATTGAAAGTTCATATTTTGAGGTTTTTATTCGTAATAGAATTTCCATTCTGAGAGAATGGAAAACGTCAGGATTATTTATTTTTAATTTCTGTTATTGCTATCAATTAGAGATCCAGAATACAGGTGTAATCTTGGATTTGGTGATAAATTAACTGTATATTTATTATTCATCGATTGATCTACGTCATAGATATGAAATATCATTCTGTGGTATAGAACTAGACAAATAACGATTTAAAGCATCAATTAATCGTGTCAAGGAAACAATATATGACTTATAGGAAAATTTATTAATGATTTCTTTGAAAGTGATTTTAAATAATAAATTTATTTTTGCGGTCAGATTTAATAAGATTTGAGGATTAAATTTAAATTGTAGTTAACAGATTTAAAAATGCAGTTAAAGAATTTAAAATGGAGCTAATTTTTAGCATATCAATAATACAATTGCTATTGGAACTTCTAAAACATTATTAATTTGTATAACATGACCTCTCCAAAGTTATAAATCTTGATAAATGACAATGATCCTTTTGAGAATACCTACATCAAACTTGATGTAGCTTGAGTGTGAGGAATAAGGTGTGATCTAAGTTAAAGTTAATCCTGTAGTTTGATTATAATTCTTTGTTGCAACTCTACTATAATATTCTCAAACACTCGTTAATGACATTATTGCATATCTTGTTTCTATTATGCTATTTATCATAAATATATCAAAATTCTTAGTAATTTTTGTGTAGTAGAATCGATACTTGAAATTAATTTAAAAATCTAATCTATCTTCATCATAAATCTAATCTATCTTCATCGTAAAATGTAATATTTCTATATTTTGAATTTTCTTTCTCAAGGTCAATTTTTAAGATTTCGAAAAAAGTTTCGCTTTTTTTCTTTTTTTTTTCTTTTTTTTTTAGAACACATGATACATATACCAGTTGAAGCGAAGTATCGTACCAGCAAAAAAGACCTCCGTTATCTCAAAATCCAAGAACAAATATGGCTGCATCGACTATATATGTATGTCTCGCAGGAAAAAGAAATAAGATCATATTCTCGATGTAAATTTGTAAAATCGTATCGCAATGATAAAACTGATAAAGATAAAGGAGTTTGTCTATCCGACAAAGACAATATCAACACGAATCGAGATAATCTTTCGAACAACGTGATTTCTTCTTACACAGTATGTATATATATATATATTATGTATATATATATATATATATATATATATATATATACACGTGATGTTACAAAAGACTGGCTTAGTCAAAGACAATAGATAAAGCGATGATTGAATAAACAAAAAATAAAAGCTTCTCTAACGCGAATCGGTTTTTAAAGATTAAAAAAAAAAAGAAAGAAAGAAAAAAATAAAAAAAAAAAAGAGAACCTATTCAAACGTATCTAATTTATCATTCCATTCTTATGTCATTTTCTTTCGAAATTTCGAATGTGTTTCACTTTTTAAAATACCCCGAAGGAAAATCTTCGTTTAATTTTGTCGACGCACTATTTTCACTTTTCTCTAAATCAATCGTTATACTTCAAATCTTAAATATCATTTTTTATAAACCTCATCTAATTTTTTAATATAACTAATGATCGTGGCTCCGTCTTCTTTTTTCTTCCCCTTTTTAATTTATAATATCTATTTTGTTACGTCGAATGATCGAACCGATATACATATGTGCCACTGTAAGTATTAGAAGATGATCAATGTAAAAAAAGAAAGAAAGAAAGAAAGAAAGAACAAAAAAAGACATAAGATAAAAAAGAAATTTAAAAAAAGCAAATATATAAAGGTACGATCCATCGATTTATCGACGAAATGATCTCTTTACTCTTACATGGACTTAAATTTACAAGTAATCATGCATCTCGTATTAAGATCCATTATTAATGTCGTTCAATGTGAAATATCCGAAAGAAATCCGATATAAATATTTATAAATGCAGGTTTCGCGTTATCATAAATTCATTTAATCAACTATTTTATGTCATATTTAATGTTAGTAATAATATTATTATTTTCTTTCGAATGAAAAAGACTTTCATTGAAATATAGGCAATAAAGGCTACGCATGCTTTAGTGTGTCATAAAAAGAGAAAGTGAAAGATAGAAAGAGAGAAAGTGTGTGGATGAATGAATAATTCTGAGAATGAGGTAAAAAGGAAAGAGAGAGAGAAAGAGAGAGAGAGAGAGAGAGAGAGAGAAATAAAAGATATAGAAAAATCATATCGATACAGCGTTATAGGCATATCAAAGATCAAGCATAATGATTCTTTGGCATCTTTAGAGGCGCGACAAATTTCTATAGTTTATCTGTAAATATATACATTATCTAACCAACTCGATTGTGAGTAAAGCAAATTGTACATAAAATATAATATCGAATGATCATGCTAGTCGCATCGTTCCTTTTAATATTAATTTTATTTGTGACGTATTATACATATAAATTTGTATGTAAGACGAAAAAGAGAGAGAGAGAGAGAGAAAGAGAAAGAGAGACAGACGGACAGACAGACAGGCAGACAGACAGACAGAAAGAGAGAGAAAGAGAAAGCGAGGATGAGAGATTAAGATTGAGATTGAGATTGAGATTAATGGAAAAATCTAAAAATGTGCGAATCATTCCAATCTCGTGATTCATCGTATGCATGTATGTACGTAACGTATATTTTATGTATGTACGTAATGTAACACATCTGTTTATTAATTACGCGCGACAAAATGGTACGATCGATCACATATATAACAACGTGAGTGGAAGAAAATGGAAAAGAAATATGATAAAAAAATATGATGATTAAAATATGAGGAAGAGAACAGCAGGATTGTCGGCTATCTATTTTTATATAATGCAATATCGAGAACGCGCGATTTCTGTAAATCTTCAATTTGCGCTTCTATCAGCTCATAACATTTTGCAATTATTAGGGAATTTATCGAAGAAACTAGTTGTTAATCTTATGCAAAACGATTAATGTCTAAGGAATATGGAACGGAACATTGACAGTAATGTGATGTGTTGTGTTGTGTTGTATTGTATTGTATTGTATAGTATTGTATTGTATTGTATTGTATTGTATTGTATTGTATTGTATTGTATTGTATTGTATTGTGTTATATTATATCAAACATAATGATATAATTGTACAGCATTCGCGCTTCGATCTCTGCGTTTTCTTTCTCGCATATTTTGATAATCAAGTCGTACACGAAAGTATTATCTCAGAAAGACAACATAAGTTAGCTATAATCAGAGCTTTACGTAAATAGCAATTTTAAAAATACGAAGAAGGACCACAAATTGTTGGTTATGCGTTAATCACGCGCGTCCGACGTTAATAAGCGAATGAAATAGCATGTTAGTTTCAAAGTTGTCAGTATGTAGTTGGATCAACAAGGTCTTGGACGATGATGTATGAGGATTAATAAATATTGTTTATATAATACATATATATATATTATATATGTTATATTATATATATTATATATATATGTGTTATATTATATATATATTATATATATATATACATACACACACATATATATATATATATACACGTCATATTATACATGTACGTATTTACATGTTCCTTAATTCTTCTCTAATTCTAATTGTAAGTTAAGTTATTACGCATCTCGCTATCTTAAGAAAGAAGCTGTGATCTTTGAAAGACACTGAAGAAAAAGAAAAAGAAAAAAAAAAAGAAAATAACAAATGAAATAAGTACGTCTCTAATATTTATTTAATATACTACGAAAATTCTCCTCTCAATGTCGCCTATTATTTTTAGTAATTGACATTCTTTTGTCGACATCGATATGTAAACAATCGATCTGCATTAACTACGGCGTATTCATTCGGACAAGTTCATTCGTCGGTGTGAAATGTTGCCTCGTCGAATATCGCTAAAAGCAAGACTATTAACAAAAGGCAAAATAAACGAAACATTCCAAGTTAGAAGGTAATCTATTTATAAATGAAAATTTCCTCGTATGTTCTTTTTTTAAACATATATATATATATATATATATATATATATATATATATATATATTTACAAAAAAGCTTCTATGACGTATTTACAAATAGATAGTTGTAAAATATGTCTTTATAAACACGTATATTCTTTGAAACTATATTATCATATTTAATAATAGTATATTTTCTACTTAGTAATCGAAAGGAATTCGTAATATAACAATAGTAATGGAAGGAGGAAATCATGTAATATCAAAAGTAATCGATGCATCACGTATAAGGAAAAATGTCTTCGTTTTAATTAAATTCTTATTATGTGACATTACTATTTTAATTATACTATTTATGCATACTATGTAGAAATACGTGGATACAAACGTAGATTATTTGAAATTTCAACAATTTGAAGGTTCAACTTATGAATAAATCATTAGTCATTTCTGGTGAAGTTACATCCGTTCGGTAACGTCATCAAACTTTTATTAAAATGAAATATGACAAACAAAGACTCGAGTTTGATATATAGATCAAATCGGTAGAAGGAAGATTTGATAAAATATATATATATATATATATATATATATATATATATATATATATATATTTCATGTTTATCACGTGTATTTCCAAGCGTATTCGGATTTAATCAATTTATCGTCCCATTATTTTCAACAAACTTTGTTATTCATCTTTCGAATAGAAAGGAAAAGGTAAGTTACTTTTTTATTCCCCTCTCTTCCCTTTCTTTACCCCATACTTTTCTTAGACTCATATTTTTCATCTCGTTATTGTACTTTTTTTATCTCGCTAGTCATGTCATTTTTTTTCTATGTAGAGATCATCAATAAAAAATGTCTCTATGGAGATGCACTCGTAACAAAAACTAACATAAACGTTAACAAGATTTCAATGTGTGATAATCCTAGGAGAATGGAATCATAAATTTAAACGCGAAATGGCCATTTTCACATAAAAAAAAAAAAGAAAGAAAGGAAAAGAAAAAGAAAAACTAAAACATCGTTCGACGTACATGTACGCATGGTCAATACATTAGTTTATCTTTATAAATTTTTATGATACAATCGATACATGTCTATATATATCGCAATATTTTCTTGTATTTATATAATCATTTATGTAGAAAATTGAATTATTGCGAATTGAATTATCATAAATATTTTACTTTTCCAATTATAAATATCAACGTTCAACTCAAAGTCTTCGAGTTTTTTTTTGAATTCCAAGAATATCAATCATCTCTTTGGAATGCAAGAGATTTAAAAGAGAAAAAAAAATTCGCAACGTAATGTAAAATAAATACATTTTATTAGTAACTCTTTGTCCAATTATTATTGGCTCATACATGTACAAAAGAAGATTACATATGGATAACAATATTTTTATAGAATAAAAGTTATAATTTGAAATTATCATAATTAGTTCCCATTGAAGATGATCTATTATTTATAAATTATATGAAAAAAAATAAAAAAAAATAAATAAAAAAATAAAAATAATAAAAATAAAAATAAAAAGTGAAATATAATATGTATAATATTTATCATTCGTAATGTAAATTATTAAATTACAATCGCATTTTAAATTATTAAAATCTTCTTAATAAAAACTTCGTTACATTCATGCACAATAAAGATTTCCATCAACGGACGGCTGAAAGAGTAATTATTTCTGATTGTGAATGTGTTGAGGACAAAGTCCATTCTGATTATCTTTAGGAAATAGAACTCACAGACAACTTTGCTACGTGGATGTCGATGTTATAACATAAAAAAGAGGAACCGAAAGAAGTTCAAGGTAAGGAGAATACACGAGAAATATTTTCTTATTACAAATTTATCGGAATAAAATAAATTAATTATAAATCGATCACAATATAAAACAAGATTACAGAGAGAAATATTAAAATTGTTTTGTTCACTATTAAGCAAATAGAAACGATATATATCGAAGATAAATATTACAAAACATATATGTATAATATTGTACATAAAATAATTTCAGAAAAGATAAAAATAAATAATGATCCGAATATATATTATGGGACATTAACCTAATATAATTTCATAATTATCTTTCGTCAATTTGTTTTATAAAATAAATAGAAATATGATACTCTTAATCTGAATGATAAGCGATATTTATGGTAGAAATCGAAGAATAATTTGCAGGATCAACATTTACGTCATTTTAAAATTTCAATGAATTTTCGATCGTTGAAAATACACCGAAATCTAATAAATTTTCTTCATTGTTTACTCATTAACTATTTATAGATAATAAGAAAAAGTTCAATCTTTCTCTCTGGCCTTGTTTTTTTTCTTGTTTTATTTTTATTTTTACAACTCTTTCAATATAGTTTTATAGAAACGATAAATCACGCTAAAAATCGTATCTTTTTTAATATTAAATATCATCAATTAGTAATCTCTCTCTCTCTCCCTCTCTTTCTCTCTCTCTCTCTCTCTCTCTCTCTCTCTCTCTCTCTCTCTCTCTCTCTCTATCTCTCTCTCTCTCTCTCTTTCTCTCTCTTTTTCTCTCTTGTTGATGTAAAGTTCAACAAGATTATTATTCGTGTAGCGAGCAAACAGAAAACATCAGCGGTTCGTTTCTCATGAATATTTATTTATTATTTGTTTACCAGTTGGACCGTAATGAACCTGCGATTTGACGCATTGCGACGATCGAATATCAAGCTATGATACATTCTTATCATGATCTTCTCTCTTTCTATATATATATACTATATATATGTATAGAAAGAAAGAGATATATATATATATATCTATATATATATATATATATATATATATATATATATATATCTCTTATATATATATATATATATATATATATATATCTCTTATATATATATATATATATAATATATATATATATATCTCTTTCTTTATATATATATATATACACATAGATTAATATATACATTCCAAACGTGATATTAAAAAAAAAAAATATTGAAATATCGATCTATTTGAGATCGATTAAAACATATCTCTAATGCAGATAGGAAGAAAAAGTAGTAGAAGAAAAGAAAAAGAGAAAGCTAATATAATCGAATAGAGAATTAGCAAAACGTTGATGCAAACTTGTATTTATTTTATCCGCTTAAATTAAAGGAACGACGGAAAGCTTCGTTTTATAACAAAACGTATTATTCCGTTCTCGCATAGCCATTTGTTCTATACTGGCGGCGAATGTGCCGTGCGAATAATCGGCTCGAAACATATGTTGCGCGTAAAATCGATAAAAGTAGAGCGAGAGAAATAGAGAAAAAGAGATCGTATCCTGCATTGTCGGAAAAAAAAATGAAACAAAACTCAACCACGAATTTATATGTATATATTATCTATGTTTATGTACGTGTGGGTATCTATTGAAAAATGATGTTCTCTTTCGTTTTTACATTTCCATTATTTCTCTCTCTCTCTTTCTCTCTCTGACTCCATTCATTTCTCTCTTATTCCCTTTGGCCTTTCCGTGTACTTCATTCTTCGTGATAAAGCAGTGGCTACTCAGTTTTGTAGATTTTTATCACCAATAATCGTACACACAACATTTAGTAAATATATATCCTTGTAAAAATATCATTAAATCGTTAGAGAAGAGCTCGTACCACATTCTTTTGTTGATATTGAACTTATTTTACTCGAGATATTTATATAAATTTTAAATCGGGAGAGAGATCCTCTCTCTCTCTCTCTTTCTCTCTCTCTCCTCTCTGTTTAACCAATCACGATTCTCAGTAAAAGAGTACTTCGAACAAACAATATTAATATTTCTCCGACAAGACGTCTAAATATCCCTACGGATTATACACATACATACATATATCCTACATTAATAATAATCTTCTTTAATTATTTATATTTGTATAATCCTCTTTCTTAGAAAAAGAGAGAGAGAGAGAGAAAGAAATTTAATTCAAGCATTAAAATGTCTTTCATTATTTCAATTAATATATAATTTAATCGTAATAATATCATATTATTATCATTATTATATTAAAAGTGAAATATATGAAAAATTCATAAACGTTACTCTCGTATATATCTTGGTAGTTTCCACGTTCATAGTTCACGTGCACTTAGTTTTCTCGTAATATTTAGCTTAATCATTTTTATTTATTACTATAAAAGAAAGAGAGAGAGAGAGAGAGAGAGAAAAGAGAGAGAAGAAAAAAATTCTAATCTTTAAAGAAATTTTATATCGATCTCGTTTCTTATCGTGCTTATAACACTTACACAATTTATACAGATTATACGACTGCAATCTACTCTTTGCTTTAGGATTATTTTACTTTATCTTGTATTCTTTAATTCGATTCAACATGTACAGAACGTTAATAAAGTCACCATTGAAAACAAAAGTATCACGGTCAATATACATTAACTATTTCACGTGAATACTGATTTATGTACATGTGTGTGTATATATCTAATTTCTTGGAGTCGACGTCAGAATTTCAAATAATTATTAAGCTTTAAATCAATCCTCATTGTCGATTTCTTTGCAAGAGTTCTGGATATTCCTCTTTCACCTGTCACCATCAATGACTATTACTTGACGTAAACACGTTGATCTCTTTTTCGATGAGAAATATCTAGGGTTTCACTTTTTTTTTTCAACTGATAAAAAATTGTCCAATGAATCACCAATACCGATGAGTCATTCATTTCATTGCTATCTCAGCAAACAAAGTATCTGTTACGTTTATGAGAAAATAATAATCAGTCATGTACACTAGGGCACAATTTAATCGTAATTACGTGCATGCATGCGATTCTCATTACCGATGCCATCTTGAACAGTATATAAAACCATAAATATTTCATGGTTTATATTTATAATTTTACAGTTTGTTAATAATTTTGTTGTTACTTTTTTTTTCTCCATCCGTTTCTTTTACCTCGATAACAATTCAAGCGTAGATCTTTAAAATTAGACATTATATATTTCATACTGAAAATGATTCTTTACTCTTCAATGTTTTATCTTTTATTAATTGCTGATGTATACTTTAGAATAACTTATATTTTTATAATACTTTATCAAATTTGATTATATTAAATGAAAATCGTTATACATTAATTCATTTCATTTTCAAAGGCAACTAAATTCTATATGAAAAGAGATACATATGTATATACCTGCGTAATATATTATTAAATAAAATAATGCACAATTACATCGAGACATTTGAAATTACGTAGAAATGGACGCACCTTCGATTCCGTTGCAAATGTCACAGATATATGTATGTACACAAATTATATTAGCTCGGGAATCAATGATTTTCAACATAGCTAGGAATGCATGTTTAATTATGCATTCGAAGCAACGAACAATATCACGTCTATTCGATATTTTAGAAACAAAACGTTACAAGCGTGTTATTATTCGATATACAACGTTCAAATGCACGTCACAGAAATTTCAAGTACATAATATAATTTATATCGATCGTAAATTCGTATTAATTACAAATCATGACTCGAAAAAGCAATTTTATCGAAAGATAAACATTTTTCTTTTTCTTTTTTTCTTTCTACATAAAGAAATATACTCAAAGAATAAAGAGGCTTCTGTGACCGTCTGTATACATTTAATTTTATCATGACCTCGAAGTTCACAAGTTTACCAACCTTGCTTTCTCACCTGATATGGAAACAGATTTTTTGGATTTCCTAAAGATTTCCACTGGAGCTATTGACTTACATCTGTCTGAATTGAATTAAATTTATAGTCTGGAAATCCATAGGTTACATGAGTTACGTATCGAACAAATTTCGTTCATTGTATAAGAAAGAGAGAAAAAGATAGAGAAAAAGACACGTACGGAATTTTCGAAGTAGATAAATAATATCACGAGACAAAAGATATATCCATTATCTATATAAAAAAAAAATTAATAATATTGTCAAGAAGAATCACGAATATAAATCCACTCAGACGAATTTCAAAGTTCCAA